GTTGTTGAAATAATGTGAATATTGGGAATTGCAGACGTGGGGATATTAACAGTTCAGGGATTCACTCTTTTTGCAGGGTACCAGTGGGAAGCCAACTTTGCTCGTGGGTGTACCTCCTCCGAGGCTACAGCACGGCTCCTTAGCGCACTAGCTTTCACAAAGCCCTTCAATTGGGGCTAGGGTAGACATTACTCGGGGTGCTTTTAACCCCCGACTTTCCAACCGATCCAACTTTTTTAGGCAGGAGCCACATGGAAGTACTCCTGCCGGGGGCGTAGAATCATTAGGATGGCCCATAACTACCTGTTTAATAACTCTCGTCTTCACTCACTGACCGAGTCTGTACAAATGCGGGATTCATCGTCGTATCGTCATCCTTGAGAGAGCTCTAACCCAGACCCCTAGATTCTAGGGGTTTAACGACTAACACTAATCAGCCAAAGGATATTCCGGATGTCCCAACAATGTTCCAAAGCTGTAGCAACAGTAGCTGTCCAAGATAGCTCTTGACTCATTCGAAACGAGGGAAACCCGAGACTTCGACGCAGACAAGGGTCCCCAGACGGAACTAGAATCTTCCGAAGATAATCTCTGGCGAAGTTAAAATTTCCAGAGGGCTACCGAAGGCCACACAGGAGGGCCCAGGGAATGGTCTTGACGGCTGATTAATCGGACGATCCGGATTGATACGTTGCGCGCCCGTCTCCTTGTTCCACGCGGGGTCTTCCGAGGCGGGTTCCGTTTCTGTTCCTCATCCGTGGCCCCAAAGGAAACAGAGGGGGTGGGGGGAGGGAGGGCCCCGACAAGGACGACGGATGAGTGTTACGGGTGCAAACAACAGTTTGATGGCGAGGCAAGGCCCCGCGCTGTTATTTATTTTGGTACGTCTAGACGCCAGATTGTCTGTTCGTACGTCCGAATCGCGACGGAGGATTCGGAGGATGACGTCAGAGAGGGAGAGAGAGACAGGCTTGTGGTATTGCATCGTCGAGATTCGACTTGCCTCTGGATCGGATATCTCCTCCTCTCTCTCTCTTCCATCTTTTGTTCTCTTCTGTTCCTCTTTCTCTATCTAGTCTCGACTTCGACGTCTCTCTGTCTGCCTCCGTTTCTTTCTTTTATTGTCCTTTTTTCTTTTTGTTTATTTAAATGCGTGCACGTGTCTCTCTGTGCGTAACACGCGCGTGTATCGGGCCCCGTGGATGGGAACCGTCTGTCTCCGTGTATGTGCGTCGTCACACCAATATAACGTGACCACACGATGCCAGTGTACCGTCGATGCACACGCGCGGATCTCCGAGCGCATCGGGTCGATGCGACTTGCAACTGCCCGGGGGTGGATTAAAGTGGTCCTCTCTCGTTCATCGATTTGTTTACCGCGCCACGATTCCATCCGCTCTGACCCTGGCTCCTACGGTTCTAGAATCGTCGTTACTGGCTGGAAGATCGAGCCTGCGAGTGTTACCCCTTGGGACGATCGTCTTTTCTTTTTGACAGGGTTCCCACACTTTTCGTCATTCTTCAACGGTCTCATCCGTTGCTTTGGTTCTAGAAAATATTGGATGATAAAATGACCTGTTCCAATCTGGATTGTTATTAAATACAAAAATTAACATTTTAGTGCAGTGGTCATTTTGTTTTGCCTAGGAGTTGGATTTTGTCGTAGTAATATAAATGATTACTAGTATGTAGATGACAGGAGGTGAAAGTTAACGAACTCACTTGGTTGGTCCAACAGAAGGACAAAGAAGGAAATTAATTAACCCTGATAGCGCCTCGAAGAGGCGCGAGAGTCGTCCCAGGAGACTAGAAGTGATCACGGGACGCTTCCGGTAAATTCAGCCGTGACACATTCCCGTCTCCGCGGCGAGTGATTTATTTTCGATGGCCCCGGGACGAGCTCGCGCACGGCCAATGTCTGCTTGTCACACCGTTAGACACTGTGGTCTCGCCGGGTCGTGGTAGAGACAGGTTCAGAGAACCGAATCCTTTCACCCAATTGCAAATGGAATCACCATGGGAATATCCTCTACAAGATGAAACACATTTCATCTCAAATTTCATCTAAGTTCACGTTTTCAAAACGAAGTAAAACATTTAAAGGATTCTGGTCGTCGAAGGGTTAACCCGTCCGAATTACGCACCCAATTACGTTCCTCATTTCTTGAAGTTCCATTGTGACGTCAACAACCAAATCCTCCGTCGCGATTCAGACGACACGGACAGACAATCTGGCGTCTACATGTCGTATCATTTCCCATTTTCAACGTTCCACCAGCTCCTCAGGGTGGACTGAAAAATGTAGATCACGTTCGCGATCTCGCGGCTTCCCTGGATTAGGCACCACGGGATCAAAAATAAATCCCGTCTGGCTGTGAGAGGTCGTCGAAAAACAGCGATCGAAAATAACGAGAAGAAGTGAAGGAAATAAACCGCTCGAAGGAGAAAAAAAAAAGGCCAGAGAGGGGAGCAGAAGATGGCGTGATCCGAACGTCGAGGTGACAGACAAATTTTCGCGACGGATTGATTTCCACACGCTCGCCCCGTACCCCCTCCCCCTACCCTTCGTCCCGCTGCTGGATACGTAATTCTTTCTCTCTCTCTTTTTCAAGCTCCTCTTTTTCCCTCCTTTCCTCCGTTCCCGTTCTTCGTTTTGGGGGCCCCGACGACGTCGACGTGCGTTGCCACGCATCGTATTTTCACGCACGCACGCGGAGGCTGCATTTATTAAAAGCGATACATTATGATTCAAAGATCATATCTTTCGATTCGTCTAGACGGCGGAGAGGGAGACACCCTATAAAGTCGTATGTGGCTGCCCCTGAAACGAGCAGCCGAATACAAGGTGCCACCTCGATCATTTCACTCGCGGCGGCCCCGGTCGGGGACACGGTCATCTTCTTATTACTTCTTTCTTTCTTTCTTCGTGTTCCCACCTATGTTTCCGCGAATACGGGGTATCGTCCAGGTGTGTCTTCGGCCTCTGTGTCTCTGTCATCGAGGATCAAGAGGATAGACGAACATCGACGAGTGTGGCTTTTGGGTATCCTCTTAGCCGCCATGGGCGACAAAAACTAGAATAATAAAAAACAGAAAACTAGAAAGGAAAATAGGAAGATGTGGTAACAGACTAGTTTCATTGAACGGAAGGAGTCATCTTTCTTTCGATTCTTCGCGAAAGCATCACAAGTTTATTTGCGTAGCTGAGAGCAAAGAAAAAAAGAGTAATCCAACCGAGAGGATGCCGCGGAATCACTGTCAGCGGCCGGTCGTGGAACGCTCTCGTGAGCCGCAGACCGTGTCGTTCTAGCCGTAAGCAGAGACAGACAACGACTACCACGACGACTACCACGGGTGAAAGGACAATTTCAGTTGTTCGTCAATTGTGAAAGGATCACCGATAAGGATCAGTATGCAGACTCTGTCACGCGCTCGACAAAGATCTTAGAAGGCTAGGCCATTACGGCGACTATACAGACACTTCGGGCCCCGTGTGGTCTGTCGCGCGTTGCATCGAGACGAAGAAAGGGGGTGTCTGTAGGGGAAAAGGGAGAGGAGGAGGACAGGACCGAAGAGCAAAGAGAACGAACCAGGGTGTGAAGGAAGACGACGAAGAAAGACGGGATAAAAGGAAAAGAAGGGAGGAAAAACAAAAACAGAAAGTAAATTCCGTGCGCCGTGTCGGGTGAGTAATCGAAGGAATTGCCAGGCCTGCCTACGAATACACGGCGGAGGTGGAGGAGGTGCAGCAGGGAAAGGAGGAGGAGGGCACACAGAACGGTGTAACACACGCTCGAAACGGGCGGTGCACGGCCGGTAGTGTTGTGTTCGCCGGAAGCAGCGCACGAGCGAGGCGAAGAAGCCACGCGGCGGCGGTGGCAGCGGCGGGGCAGATAGAGCTACCGATATATGTACTGCGGCGCGAAAAACCGACCCGGCAGACGAAGAAGGTGGCGAACGCGATAAAACGTCGCGAAGAGACAGAGACAGACCGCGAAGAAAAAGGACAGAGAAAGAGAGGGAGAGAGAGAAAAAGGCCAGTCGTCCGCGGGATTTCGGCGAGCGAGGGAAAGGGATTATAGAGGCGGGTGGAGCGAGCGGGAACGGACGCGCACCAGGAGAAAGAAAAAGGAGAAGGAGGAGAGAAGAAGGAACGGAATATACGATAAACAAAAAAAGAGAGAGAAAAAAAAGAAACCACCACAGTGTGTACGAGAGAGAGAGAGAGAGAGAGGGAGAGAGAGCGAGAGAGAGAGAGGGAAAAGAAAGACGAAAAAAAAACTAGAGGAGTGATCGTAGTAATACCGGCGCGGCGCGCGTCTCCTCTCGCGGGTTCTCGGTGGCTTGTCTCTCGGAATTAGTGAGTAGACAGAATTATGTCTGTGAGCAGGGCAGCTCCGCTCAGTTGAGACTTACTGCTCAGCCCGTGCACACGCGTGCCACGAATCTTTCCCCAGTTATATATATATATATGTATATGTATATATGTATATATATATATATATCTCGCGCCTTCCTGATGCGATTAGACTAGTCCGCGGACCTTCGACGGATCACGGTCCAGTTTGTTAACACTTGTTCGTGATATCGAGGGGGACACACCGTGCTGTTCCGTTCGTCTTCCGTGGATGTGTACACAGACACACGTGTATCCGCACACGGGTTCGCTTCTGTGTTTGCAAGCTGTCTGGTAGCAGACAACAGCGATCAGCTGGAGGTAGACACGTATATATATATATATATATATACTGAATTCACTTGGTTCCGTTTGGTTCGGATGAACAATCGAGAGTTCACAGTGATAATTCGTTCCGATAATGGAGGACATCGTTTATCGATAACAGTGCGCCTATTCATTTGCTGGAGCGGAACAGACAGAGTGGTACCGTTTTCGTGTTGCTGTAAAATTTTAGAGGATCGATCAATTGGGGGCAGTGCGTAGCGTTCGGTAAGCGGTGTCTATTACCTGGTTCAAAGACACAAGAACTTTGGGATTCGCCATGATTGGACTGGCCAGGTACTTGGTGCTGCTGCTGGCAGCATCCGTCATAAACAGTGCTTGGTGTCATCATCGTCATCACGGTGTCCACGCGGACATCAGGAAGAGAAAGGATCAGGTGGAACATGTGAGACGGTACGGGTCCAGGGAGGATCTGAACGCGATCACGTCGATAGCTGAGAAAAACAGGAGAAACTTGAATATAGATGAGACCAAGGAAAAGGTGCCTTATAGCGATAAGCGATTGGAGAAAATGCTGGAGAAGGCTATCCTGAAGATCATCACTGGTGATCTCAGCGCGGGTGATATCCTGCTGTTGAAGAGTCTGAACTACAGTCTGGAGGAGGTGCTGGCGATACGTGAGAGGGAACTGGGAAAGAAGATAGAGGAGGACACGAGGAAGAAGGAGAGCATGAAGGCTTGGACCAAATCGTTTTATGGTGAAAACGAGGAAACGAAGGCTAGATACTGGGACAAGAATACAATGGATCATTCGTCGCCGAGAAATCCTGATTACGAGGACACCAGGAACGAAGGTAAAAAGAACCGACACACGGAGAAGTCCTCGTACAAGGATTTCGATTTCGATGCTTACAATCGGCAAGCGGTACTCGATTACGAGAATCTGCCCACAAATCTGGAGCTCCAGCCGTCCAAGTCCGAGAAAACAAGCCTGGACTACGATGAGGCGGGCAAAGGTACAGAGGAGGACGGGATCGCTCGTCGTGACTTTGACAGAGCAATGGCGCCTCACGTGGTCTTCAAGATCCGCCACGACGACTCCGAGTTCGACTCCAGCTCCGGGTCCGACGAGACTGGTAAAAATCGCTCTAAGAGACCCAGGTACCATGTCCCATCGGCCTTGAAGCACACTACGTCGAGAAGTCTTGGGAACTCTGGCAATTCCTTTCACGGTTCACCAATGCCTGTATTGTCTTCTTCTACTGTTACCGTGCCACTTCCTCTGGTTCCTGGGTTAAGTAGCTCGAATAATGTTCAGACCAACCATCCGAGAAGTTATCTTTATCTCAGCACCACACCGTCGTCGGTGACAAGTAGCCAAAGTACGATCATTGAGTCCGATGAGCTGTCGAACCCTGAAGAGGAGACGAATGTTGTTGTTCACACCACCAATTCGAACGATGAGGTGATAGTTCCGAAAGTCGAGGAGAAGCACAGCGGGAGCAAGAAGATCAGTGAATACGAGGGACTCGAGTGGGTCGAGGACGATGTCTACAGGGTACTCCCCGAATTCGTGGACTCCCTTGGCTTCGAGAACAGCGAGGACAACGAAACCGCGGAATATGAAGACACCAGCCGTGGTTCTCGACAGAATTGGACCACGGAGGAGAACGAGAACGACACGTTGGAGTACCAGAACGACACGCCTGACTCGATCAAGCTCTTCATAGCCAACAACAACATATCCGCGGGCGATCTTCCCTTGGCGAACCTGACCACCTATCAGCAAGTGGCTATAGCACATCGTCGAGAGTAAGTAGATTTCTTCGTTGTATTCTTCGTTACCACTGGCGAGCCTCTGCGTTGAAGTTCTGATATGTTAGATTCCAAGTTTGGACAGAACTTTAGCGCAGGTGGTCCCAGTAACCGTGATATTTAGGCCAGGAAAAATAGAAGTTTTTGATTTATCATTCTCACGTTATACGTCCATCATGTGTCTCGCTTATGCAGTACCTAGCTAGACTAGTCTCAACAAACTGTGCTTTTTGTGTCTTTTAGAGGAAAGCTAACCTCAAGCTTCGACAGGTAAGCATCCCCCTGACGGCGCAATGATCGCTTTGGGTAAGGGACCTACTCGGTGTTGTTGCCAAATTTACTTAGCAGAATTTCTGCCGAATTTTTGTTTTGCGCGTCTGGCCCCAGAGCACGGCAGCTTTCTTTCGTTGGCTTGGCTTGCATAATCTAAAAATACACATTCTCATCGCAGTTATCTCACATTGCTCGTGTTGCATGAGACGCGATTTAAGTGCGATAATAACACGAGACCTTTTCTCTTACGTGGTGTGTTGTGTTTGCATGGAAAAAGTAACAACGTTTCTCTTTCTCTCTGTCACTCCCGCCCCTCTCTTCTTGCTTCCATTCTCCCCTCGATTATCCAGACGAGAAAAACGCGAACGGTTTTCCAGCCACGTAACCCCGACCGTCCTGCACACGAATACACTCCGACCGGCTGAATCCATTGCCCCCGCCACGTAAAAATATCTCGATGGCCTGTAAAAATATCGTGACGAAACGAGGAGACCCGTGAAGAAGCGCTCTCCTGAAATTCAGCGGCTGGTCGCTGACCAGCGTCCGCTTCGTCGTACGGATCGTACTCTCCGTTCGAATTGTTCGATGTTTAATGATTAAAGGTACGTTTTCACGTGACAATAAAAATCTAGTTTTCACGACGACATAACTCATGGCAGCAAGTGTCATGACCGTAAAAGTCACGATTTACTGTCACATGAAAACGTACCTTAACGTTCCTGATCCTCTAAAATGGACCGTGGTTACATCTATCATACTGTAGGGTAGTAAAATTTGTAACGGAGTTCTAGATAAAATCCCCCGATTGTGTCCAAAAATCAAGGTATCTTGTGAAATATTCTAGTTCACCGGGTGACCAAAAGGTAAAAGAAGTAGGAACGTAGAATCTTTTCGCGAGTAAAGAGTCACACACAGCCGATGGGACACCAAGAAGCCCCCGTAGCCAGGAAGGACGCGCACGGTGGAAATTCCGCCGTGGTCCCCAGCTATGTTTTTAAATCGTCCCCCTCCTATCCCACCTCCGCTCGTGGTGCCCCTCTTCGCGCGAGCGGGTGCGAAGGCGTTTCTTTTATTTTATTAAGTCTAGACGCGTAAATGCATTCGTGTCGGCACTGGCGTAGCCTGGCCGGAGGAGTAGTCCTCCACCTCCTCGCGCGCGCCCGCCCCGGTGTGCTTCGACTGTACACACACACCGTCTGTTTCTCTGGAGAGGAGTGGGGAGGGGGGGGGCGATCTAGACGATCTACAAACGTGAGACGGTACGGTGGACACACCAGGTAGGGCGAGGGGGAGTGGAAGGGAGAGGGAACCAGTTTTTCAATCGGTTCAACTTTTCCAACGATCTCGCGGGCCCGCGTTCCCTCTCGGCGGGTTTGAACAGAACTCTTAAGAGTGATACGTGTGTGACGTCTCTGCACGTGTCGTTCGACGACCATGATGTCAATTAAGCTTGCATTAAAGGTTGCATGAGGGCCTCGATGATTAGAGGAAGAGATACGGCGGTAGAGGGGAGGGAGGAAAAGTGGTTCTAAGGTCTCACGACGATCCATACGATCGTGTCGAGGGCCCCGCCGTTCGATATCGACCCGTCCCGTGAGTTGAGCACCCCCGTAATCACCGGGTGTCTAGTCAGATTGCAGTTAGGAGTGCTGCTCTCTTACGAGGTTATGTAACACATTTCAATTTAATGCGCTGACCTTGTCTATGCGCGTCTCTCTTCCTATCCCCGACGGAGACGATGTGACGCGCGTGCGACGAAGAGAGAGGAGGAAGTTTTCGCCAGTGGCTCTCCCCCACCTCTCTCCGCCGCCGCAGGCCAGACGATGCAACATGCATTTTTTGGCGGCCGCCAATCACGTCGCTTCCCCCTCTACACCTTCTTCTTCGGGTGTTTCGCGGTAACCGGCTGTATCGGGGAATGCAAGACTTTTTCCCTCGGAGTCTCCCGAACCCCCACGTGTCCCGATTCCTTCGCCATGGGTATTTTCGATCTTTATCGATCCCGACAATTCCGATTATTTATCGGTCCCTTTTTATTTTTTTTCTTTCGAAACGATAAGATTCATCGAATGTTCGATTTATTTGTCGAAATGAAAAAATAATGAAGTCTTCTGACTTTTTTTTTTAAATTGAAGTCGAGCGGAATTGTAAATTGCTGGAAGCTTTCGGTATCTCCAGGGTAAAATCCATTTAATGAATTATCCTCTGACCCTCTGGCCGTTCACGGGGGAGGAGGAGGGGTGCCGCAAGCTCTCGAGGCCTGTTACAAAATCGACGGTAACACCACGAGCCAATTTTCTTAATACGGTACTCAAAGAAGGATCACTGGATTCATTCTCATGATGCAACGGCCTCCAGACACCCGAGTCCTTCCCTTTCCCAGACGGCAGACAGACGTGGCACGTACGCAACGAGAGACGGTGTAGAATGCGTGACTTGGACGCGGCTAGATTAACGAGCATGTCTAGAATCGAATACACAAGCGCGACGGCGGAGAGATTTCGTGGCAAGATTTCGTCAGTGGAGCCCAAGTTGCGCTCCTCTCTTCCTTGGCCTGTCCCCCTCCTCTGTGTCCAGGGTTCGTTGGAAACAAAATATTGAGACAGGCCCCCCGAGATAGGGTCACCGAAATTCCTCCACGTTCTCTCCTTGGCTTCCATCTCTCTTTCGGTGAATACACTTTCCTCCTAGACGTCCTGTCTGCCCAGGCAGGTTCGTTTCATTGTTTAGAAAAAGAAATTCTGGTTGTTTCTCGACCAGCAACGAGGTCGTTGACGCGCCTGTTGTCTGCGCTCAAATCTCCGTGTGGGCGTCCAACGCAGCAATCCTTGCCAGTGACGTAGAGAAAAGACGTTCCTCCTTTTTTTTTTGTTCTTCCCCGGCTCCTTCGGTTAACGACTTGCAGGCGTTATTATGTAATCCTGTAATCTCACCTGATCCTCGGTAAGGCTTTCGATACGCTGAAGAGTTGTGGTTCACATTCGACCGGTCGTTAGGAGATGAATGTTATGAGAAATTTTAGAGATTCCGATGAATCCTGGGCCTCTTTCCGTGTTTCTAGTTTCGTGTGTTCTTTCTGAAATAGTTAGATCGTTTGAGAATTCTCTAATATGGCCGAGAGGGTTGAGATGTTCAGTAAAGGGATTCAAGACACACGGGATACAACTGCGAAGCGTTAATGCGTCTCGAGTAGATGGATAGATTAGATGATCGTTACACCAATGCCTCGTCGGCTGTCTAGCCAACGTCTAGAACGTATAATAAATATCTCTGACCCATACCGTGGAGTCTATAGGTCACTGACCACCGTCCAATGGCCTGCCTCGCCACCCGGAAGAACTTGCATGCATCTCGAGGAGAAAATTTCCACACCCCGACATAAAAACAATTTCACAACTGTTTCTGCTTCTATTTTTTTGTACATCGAATGTTTTTAACCGCATACACGAATCCCACCAGTTAATCATACTGTCTTTTATTTTTCATGTTCAGTCACTGACGGTCGAAAGCTTGATCATTGTCATGGTTTTTCATTTTGTTTTCGTTGTACTTGCTAATTATTTTATCCAAATGATTTCCCCCGTTCGTCTGTGCAGCCAAGGTGAAAAGGCCATCGAGGACATTAAATCGCGAGTCTTGGCACTAACTGGAAGATTAAACAATAGCGGCAGCGCGAATCAGGTTCAACGACAGAGGCTAACTATGTTCTCGCCTAGCTGTGAGTCGATCGATTGTTTCGTTAATTAGGACTTATTCGGGTAAACGGTGTTTTTTACGTTAAGGTTTGATCCTTTCGAACAGGCCAAATACCACGGAACACGGACCAGGACGCTTGGACGGATCCGTTCACCATGAACATGCATTTCCAGTTGAATCTAACTTCCAGCGACCACGTGGTCGCTGCAAAATTAAGGATCTACAAACTACCGCAAGAGAACCTAACCTCCACGACGGGAACTACTTTCGAGGAGGAAGAGGAAGACGAGAAAAAGATCAGAATATCGGTCTACTATTACACGAAGTCCCTGAAGAAGCATCGATGTGAGTGTTTATAAAATATCCTTAAATATTAGAGTTTAAAGAGAACAAATCAGTTGAAGATCTAAGGCCAAACCTAGGCAATATATTTATCTAATTTAATACGTGGGTTTCTTATATAATTTTTTTTATTTTCAGCGAAGAAACGTCTAATGGATTCGGTGGTGACACCGCTCACGTCGGAGGGAGCTCACTTGGCCTTAGATGTTAGACAGTGTCTCCGATTTTGGAGGCAAACCCCCCGGAATCCTCACGGAAACGGAAATAATCACGGTTTGGTGGTCCTAGTGGAGGACCAAGATGGTCGGCCGTTAAAACCGAGTCTGTACATTCAGCAACAATCATGCGCGGACCAAGCCACGGATCAGAAGGCATGTGAGTGTGTGCGCTAACAATACTAACTCCGATTTGGAATGTTTGCTTGTGGTTTTCCGAGTGATATTTAACACCGTGTGCCGTAACACATTTTGGATGACGCAGACGATTCAAAAACGGGACGATCGATCGTAGCGTCAATGGTGTGCAACGTATTATGTTGGCAATGCTGCACGGTTTTCCCGCGATATTTTCGTGGGCGGTTTATTTCGAAATAGATTGACTCAATTCTAACGAGAACAGGCGTTTCAGTTTCGTAAATTTGCCTTTCGAACGCCGTTATGTTAAATAAATTGCTAAATTTTTAAGATTTCCTGTTTGGTCTCGAGATGGATGAAACATGTTTGCAAGCATTTCTTTCTGAATATGGATACTTGTGACAAAGACTTACCGTATTTTCCTTGTTCTTTACAGACCAGCGCGTACCTGCACTTTTCTTCCGAGCCTGTACTCGTTATGTTCGTATCGTAAACGGCGAAACAGTGACGTACGTAAACTGTAGGCACAAGACCGCCGAGAAACATAACGGTGAAAAGGGACGATCGTTATTAACGTAATTTATTCGAAAAAACAACGACGACAAGGAATCACTTTCGTTTACGTTCCAAGCGCACGAAGATACTGGTACCAACCTGGACCACGAAGTATAAACATCTTCCATGACAGCGTCTAGGTACTTTCGACCTGTGACTCGTAGATCGATTATAGTGATTTTTTAATCTAATCATTGAAAAACAATTAACCGATTTTTTTATCGCTGTTCTAGTATAACTAAGTCTATTGGCATCTTTGTAATCGCCAGGGTAATTTCCTTTTTTTATATACATATAAAAAACATCGATCACCCTAGTGACATTTTGATTGGTTTCGCGTTCGAAAACAATAGACCGTTGCGCCGCTACCTGTTTCAAATATCGTCGAACAACTTACGCGCCAACGGTCGAATGAAACGGTGAACGATGGGTCCCGCGGAAAATTCATGTCATCCCGGTGAAAATCCTTCCTTGGATGAGGTCCTCCACAGAATAGACTGTCTTTTTAATCGTTAACTTAAAGAGGAATCGCGTTATTTAAGTGCAGTAGTCGGTAAGTCGTATTTTATTTCGTATTTCAACGATGGCTTGGACAGCGCGTCCCAAACCGGGTCGCGTCTGATTCCCGGCTAACATTTAAGTTAAATGTTAAACGATTTAACAATGTAAATAGCAGCGTAGCTGCAACAATAGGTGGATAAGTTGATTAGATTATGATCGTTGACCTGTATACACATGTACGTGTGCATTGATATACGTGTGTATACAGGTCATGCCCATGACTGATGTAACCAAATGTCAATCCTTAGAGTCTAGATATTTATGTCATACGTTGATTAAGCAACAGGCTGCCCTTTGGGCCCTTTATTGCTGTATTCTGGGTGAAACCGGTGATAGAAGTCTATCTTTTAGTCTAACATTACGCGAGCATCATACTTCTTGACACGTTCATGTTTCTCTTCATGCTTACTTTATAAGATCAGTGGTTCACCCAAAAACTTATGCTACTTACTAGAGTACACTGTTGTCCTCTAAAGGAGGCAAGAACCAGTTGATGCAACTTTTACACAATCATTGTATATAATGTATATTTAATTGTCCGATTGCACTGAAATAAATGCATTGACGTCGAAACTTAATGGTGCTTTTTCCTGGGCAACCTTTTAAGTTTGACCCTTTGCCTTGGTGTGTGCAATGAATGTTCTGGTATCTATTTGGAAGAATGCTTATAGTACAATAGACTTATTTCTCCAGATATGTAATTCTGTGAGAGAGTCTTTCAAATAATGTTCTTAATAATACATCAAAATGATATTTATAGCTTTTACAATGAGTGTTTTGTTTTAATTTTTTTCATTCTTGTATCACACACATGCTTTAAAGTTGTGCTACCTTTTTGTGTAGTATGCTACAACGAATATCTGATTTCTATTTTATGTTTTTATGAGATTTATACCATGTCATAAGTTTCTCTCATTACAGCAGTATCTTGCAATAGTGTTTCCACTATTCATGATGTCCTTTTCACATTTTATGATTGGCTATAATTAAATGTTTAATATTTTATCGTTTCATTCTATTTTATATAATATGTATGAATTGTTTGACTTCTTTCCTCTTATGATTAACTATAATTAAATGCTTAATATTTCATCGTTCCATTCTATTTTACACATATAATATGTATGCAGTGCTTGACTTCTTTCCTCTTATGATTATCATGTTTCTCTACCTTGAATGGAATTAGTCAGACAACGAGTTCTGTATAAAAATGATTTTATTAAAAATTCTCATTTATAGGAAAGTACATTTAACATTTACAACAGAATGATCCATGTCTAGACCATATTCATTGTCAAAACGTAATAGTTACCGACAACGACCTCATCTCATTTCTATTTTGAATAGTTGATTTGAGCCTTGTGTGCTTTGCCCATTAGCAGTCGGCAATATCGCTCTTGAAAAATTGAACAGAATCTGTACCCGCGTGCAAAGTACAAATCCATTTACATTGGTGGCGTAAAATGCATTAAGAAACATGTATGTGTATAATAAATAAATACGACCGCGCGACTTGGAACGTTTTTTCCCCTTTCGAATTCATAATCGCGAACGCAATTTGTTGTTATAATTTCTCGTTGAAATATGGTACCGAAAAGTCGTTCTTTTTCTATTTTCTATTCAATTAGGTAAATCGAAGAGCGCATAATGCTTCAAAGGCACCATCGTATTCCGTGACAAAAGGGATTTACAAAATTTTTCAATTGTCCCCTGATTATTAATATCCCTTTTGTATTCGATTTTTGAGCGTTAAAGGATGTTTTTTGAAGAAGACATTCCTCAAAAATCACGTAAGAACATCCTCTCGACGTCCACTTTATCATCCTCAATAGAAACTATCAGTAGCGCTGATCTTAAGGATGTTCCATCACATTCTGGAAAGGAAACAAAGGTGGGAGGACCAATATTCCCTCCAAGTGCCGGTGATACAGATAAACCTGCAACTGCGAACTTCGTCCCTATGAGATCAGTGGCATTTGCTCAAACATTACATCAAACAGACTCGGCCAAGATGCCTCCATGGACGGCATGTGCTCAGAGTCTTGCCACTAGGATGAACAACAAAGGCGTCGTGAAAAGAACGTTTTCCCTTCGACACGAGGAAGATTAGAGCTACCATCGTTAACACTCCGAAAGAAAGAAGAAGAAGGTATAAAATCAAAACTCGTTTAGAGATGAGTTTGTTAAATTCAAAATGGAACGCAGGGTAGAGAACGTACGTGATCTGTACAATTATGCATTCGGTACAAAAAAAATCATCTCCTATTATTCGATCATTCCGTTGTGCTTCTCGATGCACCGGTTTTAACGCGACACCATCTATCCCAAATCTTTACAATCGCGAGTAGGAACGCGCTTCTGCGTAGAAGCAAGAATTCGTACAGTGCTACAGTTCGTCTAACGACAAATGGACCACATATCTTGTTCGTCCTTTGAATTTCTTGTGCAACAGTGTTTTTCGCAGTTACCATTCGCAGTTTCGCAGCGAATCCTCGAAAAAAAATTTAACAACACAATTGTGCCCGGACGACCATATGGTGTCTTCACTTGTTTAACTTGGCTACCTTTTAACCGACACGTCAATCCCCCGTTCGGTCTCACAAACCGCGGAATAAACGCAAGTCAGGCATGGTCTGTGCATGAACGATGACGATTTTTTTAACGAGTCACTGACTGATTTCGAGCCGACCTCCAGCCCGGTTGGCCTTAAAAGTTGGCTGAACGTTGCCGTGGCCTCGACACGCAATCTGATGTGACCCGTCCGTCGCTTGGTCTAGCTGTCGCGGTCAAGAGAGTCCAGGGTGTCGTTACTGGACGAATGAGTGAGATCGCTCAGCTCGTCCAGGTGTTTCTGTTTTTTACGGACGTTCCAGTGCAGACATTCCGCCAGGGAATCGAACCAATCGGTGATTTGGTCAGCGGCGCAAATGCTAGGTACCGGGTATATGGAGGTGGTGACCCTCAAGCTGAAAACGATGAGAAAACGATACGTCAGTTAGATGATCGGAACACACGATGATCGAGAAGCTAGAACATTGACTTGAGCGACAAACAGGATGAAACGTGAAAAAGTAATATGCCATCACCTTGCAGTACAGCCAACGTCTCGTTTCTAGGAGGATAGGTCGTGAACGGATTAGAATTCATTAGAATGACGAAAGTAGCATCGAGTTTCGATAGCGTATTATTAAAACATACACGTACACTGAGAGAACCCCCCGTCCCTCCCTGAAAGAGCCGAGGAGAAAATGAAATGAGCATCGAAGAAAAAAAAAGTAGAAACGGAATTTAGGTAACAATAAATGGAATGTCTAGAACATTGGTTGCAGCGACGCGTAACCGTGTGAAGCGAGACACAGAGAAGAGAAGAAGTCTTTTTTTTTTTTGTTATTTTAACGAAATAACACGACACACCTGTCCCCGACGCGTAGCTCTTGCTGATTGCGTCCGTCGAAGGAGACGTAAGCTGTGCTACGGGCCTTGCTGTTTGCCATTATCTGGAATAATTCCGAGAAAAAAAACGGACACGATTAGACAAATCTGACGTGCATTTCGCGTTTACCTGTCGCCGTGGAAGAGCTCCTGCCTGTTTCTACCGTCGAAGGACACCCACGAGGTGTTTCTGCTGTCGGGTGAAACAGAGATCTGTGGTAGAAAGCAAGAGACCGGTTAATTCGTTTTTAGCATAAGCTATATCCCTATTGGGGGTCAGCTTATGTCCTGAGAACACTCGGACCGGTAGCATCCAGCGATGTTACCGACCATTTTCAACTGGAACATATGGATCACTGTTATGTTTCCTGGGTTGTGTATGGTAAACCTCGTTCGACCATTGTTTACAATCGTTCGAAACACTACAAGTGGGGGTAGCAGCGCATGGTCTGGGAATGCGGGCGACATCCACCCAGGACCAAGTTTCCTTCTATGGGGCAACATACACGGACCACAGAGATCTCTCGATGTCACCGCGATAAGAAGGCCTCCACTGACCCACACGGAAATACTACCTCCTGTCAGCTCGAGAAACATCGCGTGTCGAGCGGTTTTCTCGTCGTTTGACACAGTTTCTCTGTGACTGGTGCAGTGAGTGCCAATTCCAACTTGGACTGATCCAGGGGTCTAGGATACTGGCTAGGCGACAAGGTAGCAGCGGGGCGGAGCACAATGGTCCAGAATCAAAATTTAGCAATTCAAATGGTCAAAAAGATATTTCCTTTATCTTTCAAAAACTTGTTCATCACAGACCCTTTCGTACAACCAATCTCAGTCAAAAATAGAAAATAATCGTGTTTGGGTTACTGAACGATCCCTAAAATTGATAAAAGTTGATTAATTTATCTAATCTTATTCGAATAAAATTTCTAAATTCCAATTTTTTTTATTGCTTGAGTTATTATAAGGATAAATCGCTAAAATTTGATTCTGGACCTCACTGTGCGAAGGGCAGAGAAGAAAAAACCTCGAAAATACCTTCAGCTCGACGCCAGCCGGCACGACGATCGGCCTGAAGGACAATGAGTGAGGGCAGATCGGTGTGATCATGATCGCCGGTACAGACGGATGAATCATACTGGCCCCGGCCGCGACAGCGTACGCGGTGGACCCAGTCGGCGTGCTCACGATCAGACCGTCACCCTGCACGCTGGTCACGTGTTTCCCGTCGATGAAGAGGTCGATATTCGAGAGATACGGGGACGGACCACGATCTACCACGACTTCGTTCAGCACCAGAAGATTCGTCGGTGGTTTGGCCGGTTTGCCCTCCTCTCCTTTACGCATGATGATGCATCTCAGTCGACTCCTCAGGGTCAAGGCCGCGTGACCTAAACAAGAAGAAACGAACCTATCGTCAGATTTTACGGCTACGTGTCTTTTTAACGCCTTCGCCTTAACACCACCGTGTTGCCTCTGTCCGAACAGTTAACGGCAATGTTTATTCGTTTATCTAAATGCTGTTTGCGTTATCTCTAATTCGCGTGAAAAATAACCGCGAACGAGGACGCCACGACTTGTACGTTTCGCTTTTACGAGGGCATTTCACACGTTGTGAGTCACACAGTGATGATACTTTATCAAGAGGAACGAGGGATCGTGCGACGTGGACAGGGTTTGTTTTTTTTTTTTGTGATTGACAAATGGTGAATCGATGGTGTTGAACGAAAGTGGGATAAATGTGTTTGCCTCTGATAAAAACAGGATTACAAGATGATGCGTCTCGAGACTGTGAAGCGGATACGCGTGCTAATGGGATGTCGGTATTTAAAAAAAAGTGCGCGAGTGACTCTATGCACCTGCGGGCGTATCGGTTCGGTGGGAAGTGGAATCAACTCGATGATGTCAATTATCATCGGTGTGACGGTGGCGGTTAGATGTAATGACAACAGGTTATTTACCGCCGGCTGACTAAAATGACGTCCCTACAGGAAGAATGTTCACGCATGCTTATTTTAATCCGGACCGAACGTCTTCAGGTATGTCCGAATCCCATCGGTTGTCTCAGTTACGTTCATAATTACTGTTTTTTGCCCGCACGGTCTTTATGTTTGCGGATAGGTTGTCAGTGACGCGAAACGTGTTGCGACGACTGATTATTATGTGGAATTATAGGTTTTTTTATCACTCTCTCTCTCTCACGGTAACGACGGAGGGGAAGTATCGAAGGACACAGATATTCTCCGTCAATTATTTCCGTTGTAAAAATAGTACAGACGCGCAGTAGCAGTGAAACACAGTTGCTCACCCTCTAATACGTTTGTCACTTGTTCCTGAAAATTGTCGAACTCGAAGGGCGTGAGGAAACCCAGGGAACCGAGATGGAACGCCATCACAGGCGGCACCGATTGCTGGAAGAGCAAACTCGCGTATAGAAGGGTCCCATCGCCGCCCAGACAGACGATAAAATCGATACGATCCTGAAACGGAAAATATTCGTCAAGCCTTCGTTTATACATAACTCTGGATTCTATTTGACAGTGAAGCTTCTACCGCAGTTCTGAAATTCGAGGGTCTAAAACAGTTACCTGTAGGTCATCCGTTCCGTCCCTGAATGTCTGCAGCCTGTCTCGAACCCCTTGGAACCTGGGGTCCCTAGCTAAGGCTGGATCCTCCAGAACGGACGCCTCGATGAACACCACCATCCGTTTCTCCTGAAAATCATTCGTGATGATTCAATATTCACGATTTTGTTCTTGTTTTCACGAACATCGTTACGTGTAACTTTTTACTGCACGACAAGAGAAAAAAAAAGACGACGCTTGAATGAAATCGCCGACTTCCTCGTGGATTCGCGAAAAAAACGTTGCTGGATGACGAAACACTCGTGGAAATTTATATAGTCATGCTGAATCGATAAACCGAAAGAAAGAGAATATAATGCGCTTACGTACCACAAGGAAATCATCGCGTGTAAAAATACATTCGATTTCATTTCGTCTGCTTAAAATGACTGTCCCTTGTTGTCTGGTCTCTGACAAGTGGGCGGCTTCGTTTCCAAGAAGGAAAAAGAGGAAATCCAGGAGGATACAATCGACGGTTGGATGCTAATTCGTGGGGCAAATTGCAGTGTTTTGTTGCGATCACACTTACTTCTATTAGCCATGTGACTAATTGGACGAACGGCGGTAGGACCGACGAATCACGGACCTTCTTGATGACCAGGACAGTGAGAGGCGGCTTGTACCACGTCAACCTCTGGGAGGCTGGATCCTGTATGGTCCTGCAATAAGGAAATTATTGAAGATCGCTTCACGAGACCCGTCGATCTCCTCGACGACAAACAATTTAGACGATCGCGTGTTATCGGGCACCTATACATCCTCCAACGAATCCAGCAGGCGAACTATTAAAGTCCTTTCGCTACCACGTGCGACTATAGCAGCTCTTCACGAAACGTTCATACACCACGGACGACTATAATCGCTCTCCACGAAACACAGTGCATATACTACGTGAGATTATAGTATATGTATTTGTATTTTGCATGTCATTTATTTTAATGTTATTATAATTGTTGTGATATATCATGTGCAGGAATGATTAACGATACTAGTACGTTCATGGATACTTATTCGAATTACGTCTAGAAATATATATTTCGATATTCAGTTGAACATAAGTTCATTTTAGAAATTATAAATGTCTCGTTTCAAGTGAAAACTTTCAAACAAACTTCGTTAAAGCATCACTTATAGGAGTGAGAAATTAACTCTTGGGTCACATATTCATTTAACAATTTTGTCACGTGGTTCCGTTCTGGCGACCAGGTCCATCGTGGCGAAAGGGTTAAAAAACTAGGAAACTCGCGGTGAACACCGCCATTGATATACCCAGCTGCGCGTCAGAGATAATTAATATTAATGACGAGAAAAAAATTAAGAAACTGTTGGATCGAGGTGTTTTAATGCCGTGATTAACAGGAATATCTCCTCGCGAGTCCCAAGGACGGAGAACCGAACCGTTCGCGCGATATCGAATAACGATCGGCACGGGTATCTCCTGGCCGAAGTGCCGTTTAATTATAAATTGTAATACTTGCTAATTACGGGGGCTATTTAATGTTAATAAAAATCACATGGTCGATCCTCCTGTGAACGTAGCACGACGCCCACTTTCGATTCGGACGGACGAGACGATTGGTGGAAAAGCCTATTTGAATTACCTACTCGGTCGTCGGGATCAGAGGTGCGAAGGGATCAATGATGTATAATGTATGCGAGGAAAGCCACGGTATAGTGATCTCGAAATGGCCAACGCGTCGATTCTATTTGCTTAGAATAAGACTTTCGTTCTCGAATATGCTGACTGTCACGAACCCTAACTTCCGTTTCTACCTAACTATTTTATTGCAATTTTATGGATCAACGTTCGAAACACTTTTGAGAAAGTTACATGGTACTAGCAAAGGCAGCTTTTCATACTTTTCAAATCACCTACGTACACTACATCACTTAGAAAAATATTAAGACACTTGGGGTCTGTATGAGAAACACCTGATCTATTTCGTAAAAATACTATGTTTTAGGCTATGTTTTATTATATCATTGTAGGTGTAAGCCAGAGATGGTTAAATCCATATCTGGACCCCAGAGTTAGAGTGTATTAAGTCCACTTTTTTAAAAGATGATACTTTATGTGTTTCCTGTATCAAATTTTTCACTCTTTTCGATGGTAAAAATTATTTCGTTCTAAGTTTTTAATATAATAGTTTGAAAGTGATATTAAGTCCCTATCTTGTTTCGAGCGAAATAGTGTGAATTCCATCACATAAGGGATTGAATGCAATGTCCACCATTTCTAAGTATCGAGACAAGTTTTTAAGTCCATTGAATAATTCGATGATGGTGATTGTTGGATTCTTATCCAATGATTCCAGAATTACAAGGTTCTTGCACTTTCGATTTGCTCTCCTCTAAAATTAAAAAAAGTCTGCCTTAGTGTCCTATCACTAAAGAATTATATTAATTCAAAATCTGCTATCACCAAAAAATTCGATATCATTATTTATCTATTTCTATCAGCCAGATAAGCATGATAGACTTTCGAAAATATACAAATTTACAAATTTTCAAATTCTTCACTTTCATATTAAAATAAAAGTTATAAATGATTTGAAGAAATGCACAATCATCGTTATAAATGTGTACTAACTAATCATTTTGACAGAATTCTACCGTCACTATCCCCTAAACAATATTTTCTCCAAACTTTCAGCAATTTCGTAATCCCTTATAACATTTACCGCATAGGTGCTCGATAAGTGTTCCAATACGGTGTCCCAATATTTACAAGCAAGAGTATATGTCAAGCGACGAATTGTATTAATCGAAAATCTGTTATCATCAGAAAATTCGATAAAACGATTACATATAAAAATTCGATAAACGATACATTGACGGTTGTCAATCTATACGATCGTTCGCGATGTTTGATTCCCCCACCGACGATTTCTGAGTGGCCTACCTGACAGTTCCAACCATGACGTGGTACCGGATTGAGAGTCGCGCTCGCACTGAACGTGGACCGAACACGGCGGTACGTTTTTTAACGGTAAACAATCGGACGGACGCGCAAGCGCAAACACACGCGCGCTGATTCGTTTTTATGCGAGAATAAAACGCGCCCGTAACCCGTGTGATTCACGTGCGCACTGGTTTCAGCCGATAGACACTTGTTGACCCAGCTACGCGGCGACAAGAGTACTCCGTCGAATTATCTGTGACGTCTCCAGCGTGGCAAATGAAAGCAGATGAAAAAAAAAAAAAAAGAAAAGAAGTCAGTCGTCTAGTTTCGTTCTTCGGTGAATAATTTCTGTATTGGCACGGTGAATCGACAGAAAATCGTAGAAGGCAATCACGCGCTACGATTACCATAATTCAGTGCCAACGTGAGTTTCAAGGGAACAAACGCAAATTACTATCTCAAAGATGCTCGCACGTTCGCAATAATTCCTCGGTTAGCATATAACGAAACCGTGCTCGTGAAAATCCATTGATCAACATTCACGTGGGGATTGTTTGCTAATGAAAATTTTGGTATCGAGCTTATCCTACGTTTCGTTCACGTGCACGTATGCTTCTAATGAAATGTTAAGTTGAATGAGTAACTAATGAATGTTGCATCGCACATCTGATTACCGGTTGACTGTAATGGATTTTTGTAGCGAACGTAACAGAGTTGCTCGCTGGAACGACACGCAACACACGTTTTTATTTCGAATGTTTAAAATTCGAACAATGGCGAAATGGAAATAATCGTATACGCTGACGTATGTGAATTTTTCAGCGATTACGATTAACGATTTATGCAGAGTAGACCACGAAACGTGATCAGCTTAGATTAGATTAGCAGCAAAATTAGCATTAGATTATTGTATTGGTGGCTGTTAGATCGAACATTTTCTTGGCTGGTATCACGTGGTTCAAGGAGAGGTTTAAAGATGATTATGCCAAATTTTTTGTCAACCCTCTTTTCCACAGTTTTTAAGGTCACTTTCAGTTTTTTTATAGATAAATCTATATTTTTTTTACGAACATCTTTTAACGAATACTGAGACGAATTCAGCAAGGATTATGACAAATAATTTGTTTTCTTCTAGACCAAAAAAACATTAAGAAACCATCATTTACCTTAATTACAACGATGTTCAAAATTGTGACCATAAGCTACAATGTACTCAACTTTAATTTATGACGTCTACACCGATGGTTAAGCATGCAAAACAATTTTTCATCGAACAGCTAACAGTAGGAATAATCTAACGTTTTGTGGACCACCCTGTATAAGGTCACTTTCCATTCATCGTGTACAAAATCGCTTAGAATCACAGGGAGAAGTCACTGTCACGGGTAATTGGGTCGTGTCGCGATATACATTCGCACGTGGACAGTACCGTTTTTTTTGTGCGCGAAATGACGCGCTTTCCCCTCTTGGGACCGATCATAAACCGTCTAATTAAAACTAAATGACGTTTAGGTCGTCGTGGAGCAGTTCCACGTGACTTTCTAGATGATATCGGTCCAACGATCGACCATATCTACGGCAGTGTTTCCCAACCTTTTTCGATCATGCCCCACCTAAACGCCTCAAAGTTTTCAATGTGCCCTCTAACATAATCGTGAACTATGTTCTGAAAATGTTTAACATTAATAGCTGCTTCAGAGAAAAAAGGCACATAGGTGAAACCTGTTGTGGATGAAGTGACGAATATTTACCCATTTGCAGTATTTGCGTATACAGGGTGTCATGTTTAAATCGACCCACTCGAATATCTTCGAAACTATTGAAGATATTAAAAATTGTTTCGGACAAAGGTTAAATGGTATCAGGGTACACACTTTTTGATGTAACTTTTTTTCCATGTTGACGCGTAGAGGTCATATGAAGGTCAACCTTGTGTTTTTAAATGGAATCTTATATTTTTTAATGCGCTGCTTGATGCCACTCGTTATACATAAAATACTACGTGACTTATGGCGAATTAGTGCATTAAAAAATATACGATTTCATTTAAAAAAAAACAAAGTTGACCTTCATATGACCTCTACGCGTCGTCATAGAAAAAAGTTACATCAGAAAGTGTGCCCTCTGATACCATGTAACTTTTGTCTGTAACATTTTTTAATATTGTCAACAGTCACGGAGATATTCGATTACGCACAATTTTTCTGGTCACTATCACGAAACCGTATATATACGCGCATCACGTTGTACAAAACAATTAACCCCGATCGCTCAAATCAATGAAATGTTAAGTGTTTTTGTACACTTCGAGATATTTGTAATTAAATTGACTAAAATAGGAAATTCCGTGTTAGGAGCCTATTTATCATTTTTTTTTTTAAATGACTCAAATAGGTTAATGATTTCCTAATGGCCCCCGAAAATATTCAAATTTCCCCTCGGTAGAGCGTGTACGGGTTGGGAAACACTGATGTACGAGGCACCACACGTCCAAGGGCGTACTTACATGACCATCGCAGAATTTTTCATAATACGCCCGCATGGGCCGAACTGTTGGATCGGACTGGGCGCGTTCAGACTCCTGGTTCTCCTGGAATCAGAAAAAGAAACGATTAGAAGGCATCTCGCGATTCGGTTCGACGTGATAAAGGTGTGACATTGTCCTTGAACTTTTTTCCTCTTGTTTGTCGCATGTGTCTTCTTCCCTCCGTCCGATTTCGCGATTGATCGCGGAAATGACGGAGGAAGATTCACTGTGGGTAATCGTGGAAGAAGAGAAAACAAAATAGAAACAGGGGAGACGTTTAATTCACGTCGAGTGGAGACACACCGAGGCGACACGTAACCAAGACCAGCATACGTACACGCGAATCAATTTGTAATACCTACGCTGGTACAGGCAATTACGTCGGCGTTTCACAAAGTGACCGAAGGAACCGTGGTTAAACGACTTTGTACCGTGAAAGACAGAGAGAGACTAGTCATTTGGTTCCTTAAACGTCTGGCAAATGTACCCGCGCGAATTGTGATTTATCGTGTAACCCTATAAAAACGAAACGATAAGTGTTCGTGCAAAATAACAAGGAGAAGGATGCACCTGAAGTGGAAAGTTCCTTAAGCATTTCTTTGTTTCGTTTTTTTCCATAGAAACGACACCTGGGAATTGGTGCAAGTGTCAGGTATCCTGAATATGCATCCAGTCACGTGCAATGAGCGGTAACAGTTTGTCTAGTTTTAACGTAAGATATGCTAAACGAGGATCGAACAGACGAAAGTGACGTTACTTTCTTGAATGGTCGTTCCTTCAGGGTTAAAGACCGTAAAGCTGGCCATCAGTTGATATCACTGCGAATTGGGTAGCAATCAGACCCTGATAACGTGTAACCTCGAGCTGCCAATAATTATATAAATACAAATACACTGCATGGTATAATTATAAAATCAACATAAAATTTTTAATGCTAATGTAGAGTAAATTAGCGACGAGTGTTCGAAGTCCCCTCGGCACTGATAAGAAGAGGTCGCCAGGTGTAACGCTGACTTAGGAATAGACTGCGGATTTTATGCATTTATAGACTCTAGAGCTCTGTGAAATACAATAAAAGACAAAATTTTTAAAAACAAAAATCGCATGTCATAGTTAAAATAAAAACGAATCAAATATACCATCTCTGAGCGGTACAAAAATACTGAAAAAATATTTTTTTAGCCACACGTTTTAATATGAAATAAATATTGAATCTAATAATGTATACATATACAGGAAATATAAAATACATGTTTCCAATATTAAATACATATTTATTTTATATTGGGAAAAAATATTTTGTTTCCAATATTAAATACATATTTTTTTCCTAATATGAAATAAACATTGTACGTATATTTAAACATTAAAAAGAGATTGAATCTCTTTTTAATATTGGATGAATATGTATTCAATATTTTGTGTTACTAGCGATCCCTTAGAAAAAAGAAATGGTACGTTTTTATTTTAACCACAATTCAATAAGAACTGAAAATTTTAGGCTGGTTTTATAGTTACGTCACGCAGTGTATATCGCACACCTTGACAAAATACGTACAATGATCAATACGATTACGCTCGATTGATCTTTCACCTGTGGTGTCGCAATCGGGGTAAAGAAAGAAAGCATTTCTTTTTCTCTACCTGAGCACACGGTTCCGGGGGACATTCTCCATCGGCGACTTGATCGATCCGTTGGTCCCCAGCGGATCGACGAGATCGAAATTCACGTCCGGATGACCGTTGCCGCCCCGTATGTCCAGCAACGGTGACACATGGTCGGTCATTTTCACCGTGAACGATTTTTCCGTCGTGTCTCAGACGATCACGGTTACGAAAGCCATTAAAGCCTCTGGCTGGAAAGATTCCGTGAAGGTGTCCAAGGCACGGCTATGTTAATCACCGACAAGCTATCTGTCACGTGATTGTGCAACCGAATAAACGATCAAGGATCGATCTCCCTACGAACCGATTACCAACAGAGCTCCCTCAGTCGACTGTGTGCATCTCCAAGATTGAACGAAATTGTGAACAGAATGATTCGTGATAAATAGAAGTGCAGTCACGTGTGTTTTACGATCGGCTGATAGCCCCGTTAATCGTGCGTTACATAAAAAAAAAAAACGGAAAGAAAACCAACACTTATCCGTCCAATCGAATCCTCGAACACGAGCGCACTTCGAAACGTCGCGGAACGCCTATTTCCGCGGGAACCGATCGTTAAAACCTGACTGCTAATTTATGGGAAATTAACGACAGCCTTCAGCCTGGCTAACGAAGAACACACAATAGATTTCAGGTTTCAAGGGTAGATTCTCCTCCTCTCCAGTGTTCTCCTTCCATTAGAAGTCGATTTTCCTGTTTCCCATCTTATCTTGTCCATTTGACAATATTTACAGGTAACATTCGTGTTATCTTCTCGCACGTAAATGACACTATATGCTACGCCATTCATCCAGCAAACTGCATGAGTCTGTTAAATAATTATGTTCCCAAATAAAGGCACAATATTCTAGGCCCTAGAATCTAGGGAACCTGTGACCTCAGAGAGGATTCTTCAAGGTGTCCAATAATTTGTCCCCCCCAGAAGTGAATCACGTTTCAATGACGACAGAAGGTTTCAAAGCGTCGATTTCTGTTCACCTTGAACTCGTCGGTGGTAATCCCACTTGGTGGAATGCGCACGACGCAGTGGTCATATCGTTTGTATGCATTATTCATGTTAATCATTGACGGAAAGGTACGCCGCCGATCCTGAAGATTAACATCACACACACACAGTCGATTTTTTGTTCCCTTTCTGGGATCCTGTGGAAACTACAACCCGAAGAAGCTCACTTTTCCGCGCACCGAAACTTTCACCTCACTGCTCACACGTTCCATGACTTCGTATTTCACGAACACAGAGAGCATTCTGCCAAGAACGCGTGGACACATGGAAGCGGCCTGTAGAAGGGACCGAATCGCAAGGTGGCTGGACGCGGAATGAGGATCGAAGTCGGGGGAGACCGTCGAACGATCATGGGATTTCTTCGACGGTCGGTACAGACCGTGGACTGGCCGGTTCTTGTCGTTGCTAACAGAGGAGTTATGTAATAATAAGTGATTATGTCATATCTTATCGTACAATAAATCTTCCACTGGGTTAGCCAACCCTCTGTATGTATGTGTGGTGTCTGCACCGGTGAGTTGTGACACCGATCTAGAGAAGCTACTACGAAGCGCCCGTTGTCTCTGCGAAGACTAGAAGCGATTGAATGAAATGGATATCAGAACCCAACATTTCAGAGCCGAGTTTACATTCGAACCTAGAAAAAAGAGGTTCGAACCAAGTGTATTCGAACCCTGGCCGAGTAGATTCGAACACTTCGATCTGTATGATGCCGGGCCGAGAAAGCCTCGAATCTCTGAAATGGATCTTTCTGGGCTCTAGAGGAATCTCTCTTAAAAGACCCAGTTGGAATACACTTTGACAATGTTACCAAACCCATTAGGCAACTTTTTCCTCTGGTTTCACCGCGATCGGGCCACTGTGATGACTTTCTCTCGGATCGATTGGGAAACATGGAGAAAGATAGAGGGAGACTTTGCGAGAAGATTTTCGAAGGATCTTAGTCCGCCCAGAAGACGTTCTACAATAGGTTTAGGTGGCTCTAGTTTGAATTCTTCGACTACGAGTAGCTACCAGAAGAAATCCAACCGATTTTTTCGTTGTGTCCAGTTTGGAGAATCGAAATCTGGAAGGGAGCAAAACTGTACAGAAAGAGTACAGAAGAAATCCAACTGATTTTTTCGTTGTGTCCAGTCTGGAGGATCGAAATCTGGAAAGGAGCAAAACTACACCAGAGCGTGCTGGTCCGGTTCGGTGATCGATTGCATCGACGTGGAATTTCTGAAATTCCAGGCGAGTCGGGTAATGGGGTCGCCCATCCGTGGAGAGCCTACGGGAGCCCATTGGGAGCTCGTGAGCAAAAGCGGAGTCGGGATGGAATGTGTACAGCGAAAGGTGAACGCGTTCTCGCTCTCGAAGAAAGGAGCAACAAAAAACGCTCTCCCACCGATTCGTGATTCGAGCAGGTATATACCCGGGGGGGGGCTGGTTGCACACGCGTGTGCAAAGTCACCACCTATCCACGCGATCCCTGGACATACACCTGAGATGTTCGGTTGATTGGAACAGGTCAAGTGGACTGTTGGAAACCCTTTCGAGTCAGTGATACACCCATGATAATATAATAAATATATTTCGGCACACTGGAGGTTTACAACAGTAGCTTTCTTTAATATCGATATTTTTTACTTTAAAATAATAACATACAATGTGTATATCAATCTCATAATTTTAAAATAACAATTTAAGAGTCTGAGCGTTAGAGGGTTAACTGAACTTTGTACAAATAGAAAGTGACTCGACGATGGGTAATTTTAGGAAACAGTGACTAAATAGAAGTTATATCGCTCTATTGATTCACAACTAACGGAGTACTACTCACTCAACCCTACAATTCCGAAATTACATCCCACGCTAAAGGAAACACAACCGATTCCTCAACAGACATATAAATCCCGGTACCAGAGGATCCGTGACCATTGCCAACGTGTGTATTTATAGTCAGCCTGGTGTGTACAGTCGCGACATATTACGCACGTTGTGCACATCCGTCGCGGTGAATATTCTCTACTGAAATCGGTCACCACACAATAATCACTTCATCACACTCGATCCTGTCAAGATACACTAAATCAATCGAACAGAATGTTCGCCAGGGACCAACACTTTCCTCCCTCTGTCCCTTTCTCCCCGTTCTCGTAATCTTTCGATAATAGCCCGAATCCTCCACCGTATTTCATCGAACAGACACACACAGAGACTGAATGAACAGATGTACACACAATCCCTACTAGTGCACCGATTCCACACGTGTGTAGATGTTCCACGAGCTGTTGTTGCCTGCCACTGCTTTGTGCCACTCTGTGGTTCAAATACGACACGTCGCGCGGCGGCACACGTTACACACGTAGAGGAGGATTTAGGTTAGCCGTTCGTCGTGAACTGAACCGAA